GGGACTTTTGACACTTTATTCCTAATAGTGTACCCAAGATCTCCACCAAAATTTAGCTCTGTCGGAATTTTAGTTATTTGAAATGTCTATTTTGACCGGACTAATAGTCTATTAAAAGAGGAAACAAGGAAGCTGTATCCTAAATTGTAACTCTGTTCAATGTTATTTGTGGCTATTATTGGCAAAATTTTTGTCCCTTTACTAAATAATTGTAAAAAAAAACATATACAAGATCATCAGTATCTTAAATAGATATAAAAAATGTCAAATGTCAAAAATTTTTGACAGATAGAATTTTTTAAACATTTTTTTCATGTTCCTGGTATCGTACCTTACTTGAAAATTTTCTCTGGGGCGCGAGTTCTGGCGCACTCTGTATGTTCCTAGCAATTATCTTACTTGAAATTTTTCTCTGGGGCACGAGGGCTAACTCACCCTGTATGTTAGTTGCACTGGCAGTAGAGTTTTATGTGGACGTAGACTGCATACTGGTTGAGGATAACATCATACCATGTGGTATCAACCGGTATGTGCAAATAGAAAATCCCTCATATCTGCAGATACGTTTTGATGTGATGTCATGCAATTTTCAATAATAAATAAAAAAAGTTGTACTGCTTTGTCAGATCGAAACTCCTCAAAAATATTTGCTGTGGATTAAAGCATTTTCAAACCATTTTGCAAAAATTTCTCACTGCATATTTTGATGATAATCAACACTGCAGTCTTCAAATTTTTTCCGGCATAATTTTTAACAATTTTAGGTCTACCCATCATTTGAGCCGCAATGAAAAATTACCAAACAAGTTTTTTTATTATGAGGTAAAGCAGTCATTTGACAATTTCGGCTATCATTTGTCCATCCTTTTTTGGTGGTACCGTGGGTGTCATACCAAATAAGAAATTGATTTTTGTTCGGTTTTATATTTCTCTATTGCTTGTAAGTACTTGGTAAGTACAAACAGCGCCATTCCACAATCCTTTTGCTTTCTAGAACTGCTTATCTTTTATTTATCATTTTAAATTTAAAGGCAATTTTCTTCAACCAATTGCAAAGTACTTTTACAACAAACAATGTCGTATTCCTTTTTTATCAATTTTTTATAGATTATATCTAATTACACAGGCCGACAAAAAAAAATCATGTGACAACTTGACAAATTTTATATCATTTTGTTCGTCTCAGTAAGACAAATCAAATGGACTAAAATAAATTTCAAGAAGTCCACACACTTTGAACTAAATAATTTTTTTCTAATTTAAATGAATTTAAAATACTTTAACTTTAACAAATCATTACTCAATAACTATTAAGCCGATTTTCTTCAAATAAAGACCATTCTAAAGGGACGGAGTTGCCCTTTAGAATGGTATGAAATTTGTAATTGAATATTGGCAAACTTTTCTTTGAACAGTGTTCGAAGAAGTTCGAAGTAAATCGAAATAATCTAAGAAAAACCCTACGAATAATTTTTTTTTCATCATTACCCTCG